TACAGTTCAACTAGTGCAACTGCAAACAAAAACCATCTCAATTTTATACCCATTTTACCCCCGTTTGAACCTCTCTTTGAGTTAAGATCATAATACAAAATGGTTTTCTATACAATAAAAAATACAAATGTAAAACCGAAAGTTCCATTCTTGCTCCTCTTTTGTTTCTTATTTATATAAACGCTCTTCCAAATGCCTCTAATATCTCTAAAACTATAATGTTTGCCGACGACACAAAGTTATTTTACTCAGCATTGACAATTGAAGACCTTTTTGAAAAAACAAATGCTGAACTAAATAAAATTTATATATGGTTTAAATCCAATAAACTGTCACTCAATATAGAAAAAACTAAGTATATACTATTTCAATGATGTGTGTGCATCGATATTCCCATCACTGACAAGTGACACACAATTGAAAGATGCACTTCAGTACTTGATTGAGAAACAGATAGCACCCTGTCTCCCTAACTTGTCTATACTTTACAAAATCTACTTGACTTTTCCGTTACATCTGTTAATGTTGAAAGAAGTTTCAGTAAACTAAAGATTACAAAAAATTATTTAAGATCAAAAATGACAAACGAACGTCTTTCTGGATCAGCATTAATTTCTATTGAATGTGACCTGTCGATAAATTCTTTAATGAAATCTAGCAGAATTTGTGTAAACTACTTGAAAAGTAATTTTTTTACTAAATGCTTAAACTTTTTACTAAACTTTTGTAATATGTCTAGTTAAATATATTTTTAAATGACCAAACTATTTCAGTAATATTAAATATTTCTTATTTTATAAAAGATAATTGTTAACTAAATTAAACAAAAGAAACTCAAAAAAAATTAGTGTCAAATATGTATGTAATATGTATAATAAAAATAATTTCTGGGGTTTAAATACCACACCCAACCCTGGTCACAACCTATTCATTGACTTGGCCCCCGTGACACTAAACCTCAATCCTCCACTGAAACCCAGTAAAGACGCAATATCAATGTGATATTAGAATGATATCAAAACTTTCTCAAGCTATGATGTCATATAATGATATCATTATGATATCATAGTGATATCATAACTTTGAGAGATAAACTTAATTTATAGCAGAATTTCATATATTAGTTATAAAACCCAGTAAAAGTTAAGCTTTTCCCTTTTAACGTCCAAATAGTAAGTTTGATTTAAAACTCATATAATGATATCATTATGATATCAAGAATTTGTCATGTTATGATGTGAAATACAAGTTGTTTAACATTCATACTACTTTGCCGAAAAACGTCTTACAAGAATTGATTATTACTTTCAAGATGGCTGAAAGATATACAAATAAGTATTTAAAAAAATGGTAAGACAAATTAAATGAAACTTTATACCTGTTTTATAGTTAGCTGCAACTTAAAAAAAATTAATAACTAAATTGTGTTTAAAATGATAAAATTAACGAGTAAAATATTTGTTTTTGATACTTATTTTTAATACGAATATGTTGCAGTATATATTGATAATATATCACATCATCTATTTTCATTCAAAAATATTCTAACTGTTCTAGAGTTATTTTTTAGGCTTTATACGGATTAGATTTTAGTACTTATTTAAAAAAGGATATTTGTATTTAAGATAACAATTATAAATGACATTATTTTTGGTAATTGCAAAAAATCAAGGCTTGATTTTTTGCAATTACCAAAAATAATGTCATTTATAATTGTAATGAATGATGATGCTAATGAATGCATGTGATGATGCTTGATTCAAGTAGCATCACCTGCTTTCATTGACTTATTTTTACAATTTATTACTAAATAACATATTTAAAATGCTAATATGAATGTGTTAATTAAGTACATATTAGAAGTAATAGTAGTAGTAGTTTACGCTATGTTAAACAGACCCAGTGAATGTTTTGTTTTGCACTCTATTTATTATAGTATTACAGCAGTTATGTTTGATTGCAAATCAGCTATTAATTAAAAGTTATTTTTGATCTTACACCTTCAATTGAAACTGAGTTCCATGCATCTAAAATTCTGTTTAAAAAGGAAATGCTCCCTTTTATTATAAGGAAGCATTTTTTTTAACATAACTGCAGCTTTGAGAGTCATCTTTAACCTAATTGCAGCTCTAAAAGTCCTAGAGCAATTTCCTTTTAAATAGTATTAATAAATGGAAAACGTTTTCCAATATTTATTTTGTCAATGTCATGCATAAGTTTGTATAATTGGGACGAATCTCTCCTTTTTATATTCTCAGAGTTAACAAGCCTATGGCAATAAGTTTATTAAAATGTTTATTTTTTACAAATTTTTTACAAAGCATATATAACAATAATGATCAGTGAAATTTTTAAACATAAATCATTTAAGAAGTTCCAAAAATAGAAGGAAAGCACAAATGAATTAGCTATGCTTGTAGAAAGACTTTTAAATTAGTATAGTTAATAAATACCCTTTGTAACTATGTTGTAAATGTAGAAGTTAAAAATTCTGGTTGCTTAAATAACAGTTAATAGAGCTTCATAGAAGGACTTAATATGACAAAAATCCATAATAATAGGACTTAAATCTTATAAATAGGAGTTATTAGGACTGAAATCTATAAATGCAGCAAAAAGGATTTAAGAACTTCCCACCGATAGAAAAAGCAGTAATTATGAAAGTAATAAAAATATTATGCTGACATTTAGGGAAGACCTAGTCGATGGACTGTTGAATGTTCGTTATTTTAACAAGAGTAACTACATTTTAATCACATTTGTGTAGATCTTCTAGCACAAGTTATGACGCTATTAAAAATGCCTTTAACCTGGGATGTTACTATAAAGTTAAGTTTGTAAATCTTCCAAGATGTTTCATTTGTTAGACTTATTTAAAAGTTTAATTATTTGTATTGAATACTTTACTTTGAATAATTTTAATTATGTTCCATACAAATGCATAAAAATATATAAAACTGGTACAGATATATCATTTTCACGGATAAGAAATTGTATTTATTACAATAAATAGTTTTTGTCTTTATTAGAATATATCCCATAAAAATATATTCCATATATCTTTAATAGAAAGAGATTTTTTTTTAAATTGAAATAAAATCTTATTTCTCTGACTATCATTTTTAAAGGTCTATGAAGCTGATGACGTAATTTTAGCTATCAGAAATTATTAAGAGAGGGACAAATCTAAAGTTGAAGTTTCAAACTTTCCACTTGGATATGTGTCGTGTTTTTTTAATCTTGTTCACCTAACCTACTTTAAAAACCAAAACAAAAACCGCTTGAGCAAATAACACTTGTAATTATTAGAAATATAAAAAGGATTTTTTACTTTTTATATATATTATATAAAAAGTAAAAAAAAAATATATTATACATATTTGTTTATTTATATTGTTTATATAGGGATGGTTAGGCGCCAAACCTGCCAATTCAACCAAGTTTAAGCTAAATTAGTTTTATAATAAAAAAATTATTTATATAGTTTTTCTTTCCAAAACACAAATATACTTTACTTAAAATTTTTAGATGCACTGAACTACTATTATTTTTAATTTTTTTGGTTTAGTGGCTTTTGTTAAGAGCTTTTAAATTTTGTCTAGTTTACTCATTTCAACATATTCGTTGTATTATTGATTTGTTTTTTAAAGCTCCTTAAGGTAAAAAAAAATCAATTTTGACTTTTTTACAAAATAAGCTAGTTTTGATGTCTACAAACATTATTAAATACATATTTTCAAAGAGTTCTGAAAATATTCTAAAAAAAGTATTAGTTTCAAAAAATGTTTTACAAAGACTTTCTACTAATAATTTTTTTTTAATTGCGTTTTTCTCGAAATACGTAATAAGCATTTTAAGCATATATTTATAGTAAAAAAAATAACTGTACCAAAAAAAACCTTTAGTTGTCAAAAGAAAGTTTGAAAGTTTTCTAGAAACGCGCTTTTTTTTTTTTTTTTTTGTCTCCTCAGCAGCACCTTCTGGAGTAGCAAGGCTGTCTTGTTGAATTTTTTCTTTATTAACTTATAGACAACTTTTCTTTCAGACTATTAGGAATAATTATATGAGCACATTAATAACATAAGTATCTCAATCATGACACATACGCTTCAAATTTTTTCTCCCGATGTTTTGATATTTTTAGAAACTTTAGTTTTTTTTTAAATCTTTTCGTTCGTTAAAGTGTGTAATATCGTCACATATGTTTGTATAAAACCTCTATAAAACTTCAAAAGTATTTTGTATTTCAAAATAATTAATATTATTTTAAAACAAAGAAAGTTGCCATTAGTAGGATACGAACCGCGGCTTACATGATCAGAAACTCAGCACGCTATCCACTCGGCCTCACACACACGTTGATAATCGAAAATTTTCAAAATTATATAAAAAAATTTTTAACGGAAAAAAATGCTGTAGATCAAAATTAAGGAGAGCTTGTCTCAATGCAATTTTCAAGCGAAAATCAAACTGTAAAACTTGATAAATGTTTCAGTATGATTTAACATAACTTAATTTAAAGTTTACCTACGTTATATATTTGCACACACGTTCGTTTAGGTTTTCTTATAAAACAAAGTACTGCGTCTCTTTCTTGCCTCTACCTCAGTTGCAATGGATGTCAAGGGTTTCTTGTCAAACACGCTCGAAAAGGCAGTAAAAGAATTAAGTTCGGTAATAAAATATAGGATAATATAGTTATACAGCCATTGGTCAGAAGACTCACACAATAGCTTAAGTCACGCGGTTTATTAGACATAATTAAAACGAAATGAAAAACTTTTTAAAGATTTATTTTTTATTGGCTAAACAATTAAATTAGACTTAAATGCGTTTTCAAGATTCACTTCCTTACAACAACTGAAAGCAAAACGACTTATAAATAAATAATAAACGAGTGTCGAGTGGCCATTTTAATTCATAGAAATTAAAAAGCTCATTTCGCGACAATCTACTTTCCTAAATGCCAACAAATCAATGGACTCCGCTTTTTCAGAAATTATTGATGGCACGTTGACACAACTCAAGAAAATATGAGTTGTTGGTCTCTCGTTATGAAAGTCCTGCTGCAAGAACTTTTTTTGTAAGTTTTATAAACAGTTTAAATTCATTATGTAAAAGCTAGTATGATTGTGTAACAGTAGGTATTCATCTTTGTAATAATAGAGGTTTAATTACTAAATATTTGTTTTTTTAATTTAGCATAATGTAGTTACATTTGCTAAAGAAAATTGGTAGACCAGAGCTGGTAAAAGCCACTTTATATGTTATGTCGTAAAGTTATTAACTTTTTAATATCAAAAATAAAAATGGATAGTACAGGAAATTTTGGAAACTTCCATTCAGGAAACTATCTATACATAAATTGCTCTGAGTAATTCCAATTTTGATATATGAATGTACATTTAAACTGGTAACTATTTTACCTTTTTTGCGGTTTTTTGCGGTTACAAATCAAATTAAGAAATCAGAAGATCAAGAATACGAATGTAGAAGATGATGTTGCACAAACAAGTGCATGATGAACTAGCGGTAGACGGTATTTTAGGAAGATTTTTCATAATGCATAAACCAGAGAAAACAGATATTTATATTTCTAAAATATTTGTTTATGAGTATATCAATTTCATTAGTAATATTTGACTTAATATTAATGAAAACTTTTATTTTTTGCTAATGAGAATTTAAATAATATTTGATAGAAATTGTTACTACAAATTTCCACAGGAAAAAAGCTTGATCATCTAATTTTTTTTTATATATCAAAACATAAACAAGTACAGTACACGAACGTTTTTTCTCTAAATCTCCACTCTATGAAAACGTTTTATATAAGTTTATAACTTTATATATTGTTTTATAAAATAAAATTATAGTTTAAGTTGAATAGTATAAAAGTTTATATACATGTTATAGTAATTATAAAAAGTATAAAAGATAAGACCAGGTATTTTAAAATATATCTTATTTATAAGTTTCATTAATTTTATAACTACATCTTATTTATAAATTTCAAGACCTATATAGTTGTTATTTTCTTCTTTTTTCTTATATTTCAAAACCTATATAGTTGTTATTCTCTAGTTAAAAAGTTATAAAGTAATTTTAAATTATATTAGTTTTAAAACTTAAATAAATTGAAATTACGTTAACTGATTTAAAAAAATTATTAGACAACATCTAAAAGTTTTAGAGGTTTTATGGGCGTTTTTCCTAAACGTTAATCTGGATTTCATTCCAAACGGATAATCGATAAAATCTAAACGTTTTTGTCGAAACGTTGTTTTGATGTTTAATAGACGTTTGTATGTTTACTGGGATGTTAGAATAATTAAAAAATGTTTTTGTTCTAAATAACAGCATATATATATATATATATATATATATATATATATATATATATATATATATATATATATATATATATATATATATATATATATATATATATATATATATATATATATATATATAACAAAAACAAATACCGCCAAAACAAAAAGGAAAGATTAATTAGATATAATAATATTCAACCAAATAAATAAAAAATTATCCATTTTAATAGAGAATTTAACTAGATGCTATTCTTTTTGAATTCCTTTTTTTATTATTAATCTATATCTTTTTTTATAATCATAAAACATACTCTGACAATATCTTGTCTTGTATAACATAACATCAATAAAATTTGTGCAACACTTTTTTTCTTCCTATATACAACGTATATAGTCATTATATACACAATGATATTATAGACTGCATACAATATAATTATATTCTACTATTAAAAATCCATATGAAAAAATTGAAATGTAAAACAATTTAATTTATGTAATAAATGTGACAATAAAATTTGTATAAAGTCTTGATTAATAATACTATTTTTATTCAGCGATATTGTTGATTAAGAGAAATATTATTTTGTAATATTGTTTATTTAGGCTTTTTACAAAATTTGGGCAAATTTTTAATTCATTTAGACTGAATTTATAATTTTATCAAATTTATAAATACAGTTTATAATTATCGATATAAAAAATAAATATTGCCTAAACTTTTTTTAAATTTTTTATTTCATATGTTTTAAAACTATCTATAAATCAAATTAATAAGTCACTTGTTTTTATAAACACAATAGTTAAATATACATATAAGTTAGTTAGCAACAATTGACTGATAAAGCGTAAAGGTGAGTTTCCACTCATCCGCTTTTTTCACGGGAACGGGAAAGGGACGGTAAAAAATAATCACGTGGGCATGCGTAGTATAAGTTTTAATATGTCTGAAGGAAAACTACGCATGCTCACGTGATTTATATATATATATATATATATATATATATAATATATATATATATATATATATATATATATATATATATATATATATATATATATATATATAATATTATAATTAAATAAAAACGGCTGCGTATAAACTTTTTAAAAATATATATTTGTTTTTATTTTAATATATTTTTTCGATATTTCGCTGATCGATTGTGATCAGCGTCATCAGGTGTAATAAATAAAAATCGTTACAAAGAAAATTGTTGTAATAAAAACTAACCGTTAAAAAGATAACATTAAAAAGAGCATAACAAATTACAAAATAGCTTTAAATGTTGACGTCAAACATTCTAACAAAAAATGGCCCCCAAGTTTTTGTCGTCACGTAATCACCATCATCCCTATTTAAAACTTTTTCATCACTTCCAAGTTTTTGTCGAATTTTAGCTCTGTTTACTTCAAGTGACTCTCGAATTTTCCGAATATGATACTCTGGAGCGATTGATATTGTTTTGGGATGTAACCAATCGAATGTACCCTGGCATGATTTGGAATGTTCGGTTGCACCTGAACTGGCCCATTTTCCTTTAACACTATTTTTCTGGTGTTCAATACATCTCGATATAACTTTCTTCTTAGTTTCTCCAATGTATATAGAATTGCATGAACATTTTAGTTGGTAGACGCCTGGGTTTGTATTTGGAGGAAGTTTTGTCTTATTGTTGCATAAAATATTGTTTAAATTTGGAGCGGATGTAAATATAACTTTTATGTTTTGTTTTCTAAGTTCCTTTCTAAGTTTGGGACCAACGATTGGTATCCATGGTAGTTTTATAAATGGTTGGTTGTCAGTTGGTTTATAATTGGTATTTTTTAATTTGTTTTTTAGAAAGTTTCTGGCGATATTAATTAGATTGTTCTTGTTGTGCCCGTTTTCAACAAACATTTCTATTAGAAAATCAATTTCTTGTTTGAGATATTTTTGAGAGCATAATCTCTTTGCACGACATAAAAACTCTTTGAATACGCCAGTGATAATATTAGGATTGATGTTTGAGTTAGGTTTTAGTTGAATATTAGCTATTGCTTCTTTTCGATGTATTTGAAATTCATAAGCTCCATGCATTGTGTTTTTAATATTAACATCTAGAAAGTTAAGTTGTTTTTGGTGGTTTTCGAGTTCAACAGTGTATTTTATGGCAGGATTTTGTTCGTTTAGGATATTTAGAAACATTTGTTGTTGTTTTATTGAGTTAAAGCGAGCGTGACAGTCGTCTACATATCTCACAAAAGTTTTTGGTTCACATGTACAAATAGTAGCTATATTAAGAGCTTTTCTTTCTATATTCTGTAGAAACGCTTCCGCCATAACAACCATTAAAGACAAACCTATAGGACCTGAATTAGGTATTATTCGGATTTTGTTTTCATTTAGAAAATAGCAAATACTCAATGAAAGTTCTATTAATTGGTGTATGTGTACAAGAGATAGTTTAGTTTGAGTCTTTAAGTCGTCTATATCATTATTCAATATATCAATAATAACTGGAATAGCTTCGTCAATGGGTATGGACGGATATAAATTGACTACATCAAATGAAACTTGAATCTCATTGGGATCTATTTTCCATTGTCTGGCTTCATTAACAAAGCTATTGGAATTAATAAGTCTATTTTTGTTTTTATTTAATGTTGGTTGAATGATACTAACGAGGTATTCGGATGTTCCATATGGTGGTGTGTTGATTGTTGACACAACAGGGCGCATTAGGTAATCTTTTTCAGGTTTATGCGCTTTAACCATTCCATATATTCTAGGTGGTACACAATCTGATGGATACATTTTAAAATATGTAGTTGTGTCTAGTTTACCCTCTTTGCTTAATTTAGATAATTGTTTTTGAAATTTGGTAGTAAGTGTGGGTGTCGGGTCATGATCAATAATTCTGCTATTTTTAATTGTTTCTTCTAATTTAAGAGATGCATCTCTTTGGTATAGTAGTGCAAAAACTGTGCCTTTATCAAAGGAATAAATTTTAATATCGGAATTCATCTTTAACTTTCTTATAGAAATACGTTGTTGTTTGGATAAATTATCTTTTAATCTTAATTTTAATGAATTTGTCAAAATATTAGAACAGTTTTGTCTTAGAGATTCTGCCTGTATTGATTTATCCAATTTTTTAAGTTGTAAAGCGCACATTTCAATATTTGTTATAATGTCCATATAAGGGATTTTCTTCTGAAATGGCACGAATTTTGGACCTAAATTTAGAAGTTCAGTTGTTTCTTTATTCAAAATAACATTAGTTAAATTAAGTATAGCAGGATTAATAACTTGATTAGGAGGATTTATTCGAGGAGTATTTTTTATATTCGATGTAGTTTGTAATTTATTGTATTTTTCTTTCATTTCCGTTTTTTTCTTAAGATAATGGTAATTTTTTGATTTGTTAGTTATGCTATTAATTAGCTCATAGTCATTTAATCTTACTTTATTATGAAGAAATATATTTAATTCATCAATTAATTTCTTACTTGAGTATAATCTGTGTTTTGCTTCGTTACGAGCATGAACTAATAGTTTATTTCTGCATTCTTTCATGATGTTCTTTGCTTTTTTAGTATATACTGGAGTTTTAATTTGAAATGATTTTGGAGTTATGTTATTTGATATGCACTTTTGAAGAAAAACGAGTTGGTTTATTGCGTTTGCATATCGTATCTTCAAATCTTGTAACTTTTTGGTATCATCGTAAATCTTTTTGCCGTAAAAAGTAGTAATATAATCTATATATATAGTAATATGTATATATATATATATATATATATATATATATATATATATATATATATATATATATATATATATATATATATATATATATATATATATATATGTATATATATATATTTTATGTCGTGCAAAGAGATTATGCTCTCAAAAATATCTCAAACAAGAAATTGATTTTCTAATAGAAATGTTTGTTGAAAACGGGCACAACAAGAACAATCTAATTGGTATCGCCAGAAACTTTCTAAAAAACAAATTAAAAAATACCAATTATAAACCAACTGACAACCAACTATTTATAAAACTACCATGGATACCAATCGTTGGTCCCAAACTTAGAAAGGAACTTAGAAAACAAAACATAAAAGTTATATTTACATCCACTCCAAATTTAAACAATATTTTATGCAACAATAAGACAAAACTTCCTCCAAATACAAACCCAGGCGTCTACGAACTAAAATGTTCATGCAATTCTATATACATTGGAGAAACTAAGAAGAAAGTTATATCGAGATGTATTGAACACCAGAATAATAGTGTTAAAGGAAAATGGGCCAGTTCAGGTGCAACCGAACATTTTAAATCATGCCAGGGTACATTTGATTGGTTACATCCCAAAACTATATCAATCGCTCCAGAGTATCATATTCGGAAAATTCGAGAGTCACTCGAAGTAAACAGAGCTAAAGTTCGACAAAAACTTGGAAGTGATGAAAAAGTTTTAAATAGGGATGATGGTGATTACGTGACGACAAAAATTTGAGGGCCATTTTTTGTTATATTGTTTGACCTCAACATTTAAAGCTATTTTGTAATTTGTTATGCTCTTTTTAATGTTATCTTTTTAACGGTTAGTTTTTATTACAACAATTTTCTTTGTAACGATTTTTATTTATTACACCTGATGACGCTGATCACAATAGATCAGCGAAATTTCGAAAAAATATATTAAAATAAAAACAAATATATATTTTTAAAAAGTTTATACGCAGCCGTTTTTACTGAATTTCACATATTTTATTATTATCGTATAACAAGAAAATGACTTTTAAAGATTATATATATATATATATATATATATATATATATATATATATATATATATATATATATATATATATATATATATATATATATATATATATATATATATATATATATATATATATTTATATATAAATTTATATATATAAATATATATATATATATATATATATACATATATATATATATATATATATATATATATATATATATATATATATATATATATATATATATATATATTATATATATATATATATATATATATATATATATATATATATATATATATAGATATATATATATATATATATATATATATATATATATATATATATATATATATATATATATATATATACATATATATATAAACAATTTTAAAATGTATGTCACATAATGTTACACATTTTCTATAAAAGGTTCAGTTTTAACAAATAATGATATTCAAAATGAGTCTAGGACGTTCAGGGCATAATATATATATATATATATATATATATATATATATATATATATATATATATATATATATATATATATATATATATATATATATATATATATATATATATATATATATATATATGTATATGTATGTATGTATCTATGCATATATGTATCTTTGTGTGTGAGGGTATATGTATATATGATTATAAAAGTTGTTAAACAACTATCATGACGTACATTTACCCATTTTTCTTCTGCCTCTCTGTTTACTTAGTTATCATAACGTGATTGTAAACTTAAATGATTGAAATTATTTATTTTAATTAAAAAAATAAGATTTTCCGATTTGATAATAGCTGGATAATAGCATATACAACGAAAAAAAAAGCAATATTTTTTTGTCTGGACAATTGTATAGACAAAATATTCTTAAGCATGTTTTTTATTCAAGTTTTTAATTAATGAAACTTAATTGTTAAATTAAGTTTCATTATTTGTTAAAACTAAGTTTTAACAATTAATGAAACTTAAAATGACTCTTGTTTTTGTTTTAATTGTTCTGATTGGGTTATTATTTATTAATGGAAGCCTCATTGACCCTCATAAAATTGAACTTTCACAAAGTGAAATTAGTTATTTTTTAACTCATAGCGCTTTCTCAATTGGTTTAGCAAAAGCTGTTAAATATCTTAACAGCATTAATTCAAAATATCGGTATGTTTAATTAATTTATAATTTAGACTTATTTTTTTTAAACTTAAGTTCTTGTGTACCTATTAAAATAACGTCAGATAGCAAGTTATAAAAGAGAATAAAAATAACTATATTTACGTTTTTTACTAGTATTTATTACGTTTTTCACTAGTATTTATTACGTTTTTCACTAGTATTTATTACGTTTTTTACTAGTATTTATTACGTTTTTCACTAGTATTTATTACGTTTTTTACTAGTATTTATTACGTTTTTCACTAGTATTTATTAGGTTTTTCACTAGTATTTATTAGGTTTTTACAAGCATTTTTTTAGCATTTTACTTGTATTTTACTAATATTTCAGACAAGTAATAAGAGACATAATTGGTGTAACATTGCAATTATATATTTATTTACAACCAAAGATTGCCCTGCAAAAGCAAATTCCAAAAAAAATGTTTGTCATCTCACTATTTTTGAAGCGAGGAACAGGATTATTGTCAAGGCGGTGTGTTAAAAGACATTTAACCATTGTTACTTGTACGAAACAAACAATTGTTTGAAAAATAAGGAGCAATAAAAAAAAAATAACAACTTATGTACATATATTTTATCACATTCCTAGAAATAACTTAATTAAACTTATTGAATGTTGACTACTTTCGCCTATATAGTTTTTTTTTTGTTATTATTGTCCATTATAATTACAACTTTGTTATTACATAATACAAGTTGGTAAAAAATACGCATATATAAACAAAAATAAAAACCCCCATTTCACATTAAAAAAAAAGGTCAATAAACATAATTTATTGACGCATTTGCAGTGTGTCAATAAATATGTTTACTGACGCACTGCAAGTGCTTCAATAAACTTAACTTTAAAATTTTACTTATTTCTGTTGTTAAGAAAAAAATCACCAGAAGGAGATCACAAAACTTTAGTTGATTGGTAGTTGCTCTTTTGTCAACATAACAATCTAAACAAATGTGAAATTGGTTATAATATTACATTACATAATATATCCTTGTTACATATGCTTGTATATTAAGGTGAGCTGATAAATTTGTAAAAAATAAAATTTGCAAATCTTCAATTGGCAGGGATAGTGGAATAGTTGGAATAGTTAGAAAAGGTGGAATAGTTGCTCCATAGTAGCATTAGTGAAAACAAAAAAGTAGAGGTCATAAATTTGTTGGTCGTGGGGTGCTCCAACACTCTTGAAATATCACCAATTTTATGCGATTTCGTAATTTTCTGACATTTTACATACAATTAAGCAATGTTTAATTTAGTTACTTAAAATACTTATACTGCACAGTAAACAAGTACACACTACACATGCATATAAAATGTTAAAGTCTGTATTGTTCTTTGTTGTCAAACGTTTTCATTTTCTTTCTGGATTCAATACCAGAATGGTAGATCCGTCTCGTTGTTCAGTGCAAACTGCCGCCGATGCCTCAGTCACTAAACGAGTATGTCCCTCAGTGGCTTTAGTGTGACAGGGAAAATGTGACAGGCTTCTAACAAGCTGGTTGTTTCTGCTCTTAATGCAGTCTTGTAGCTCTTCTTCAGCCAGGTGTTTCGTCATTGGTTGTTTGCAGCGGTCTTCTTTGTTCCAGTTTACCGTGTCAATGTAATCTCTGACATTGAAGTTTAAACTTGGTACTCGAAATTGTCGCAGTACTTCTGATGCGTTCTCCCTCCGTGCAGCAAGTATCCGTCTGCAGCCCAGTTCTCTGATGTGGTCTCTTTCATCATTGCCAACAAGATGTTCTCAGAATGGCAAAAGTAACCTTTTTTGGCAATCACTGGATCAACAATCACTTTGAGTTCCGGTTTCATGTTTCATGTTTCTGTAAAACTGTATTAGTTTCCACATATGTTGTAATCCTTCCATGCACGCCGACCTGACTTTAATGTGGAAACCATAGCGGTGCATACACAGTCATGACATAAGTAACAAGTTCCAGGGGCGGATCTATGGTACGTCTAGTACGTCTGTAGACGTGCCAAAAATAAAATTAAATCTAAAAAAAAAAAGTTAATATATTATTTTAAAATTGCGTTTAAAAATAATTTTTTTAGTTAACCGTCAAGTGAATTAAATTTAAGTTTTATTACCTTTATACAAACAGTTAAAAAAAATAAAAATTTCGCTTCTTGTTCAGAGTAATTAAAGTTGCTTTTTGTTTAGAGCGGTAAATAAAAAAATCTTTTTTAACTGGATGTTAAAGTAATAATAAATAAATAATATTTTATTAGAAGGGTTAAAGAGAAAATAGGAAAAAAGAAAAATCAGTAAATTATTTGAATAAAAAAAGAGAATTTATAAATTTAATAGAAGATTAAGGTATTTGATGCCAATATATAAATTTAAAAAAGTGATAAGAATTTGAGCGGCGAAATACCTACTATAATAAAACAAAAAGTATTAAAGAAATTCGAATTTTTAAGAAGAACTTTTTTGTTATTAAAATCATTTAAAAGAAAAAATCACGTCTGGAAAAGAAAGTCTGAAAGAAGTTTAAAGTTTGAAAGAAGTTTAAAAAGCATTATTTTTTGCGCTAATATTTGAAATTGTATTGTATTTACTTTAACTAGGGTGTTTAGGC